TTTGCTGATTATTCTGCGATTCAAGTGAATTCAAAACTTTTTTTCGTTCCAAGATCAGTCCGAGTTCATGAGTTCATCAAAAAATTTTCAGTCCAGTTCATACGGGGCTCTGCTTCACGTTTCCTTGGAACCGATGGAGCGTGCTGTTTTCACTCATTTCTATAATTATTTAACGAAAAAATAGCTTACTGACCTGTTTACAATCTGGTTTTCGTCATAAAAATTCAACTGTAAACCAACTCATTGATTTCGTTCATAGTGTTGAATGTGGGTTTGAAGGTGGAAAAATTACTTGTGGACTATTTCCACATGTTGGGAAAGCATTCGATTCTGTTTGACATTTAGGTCTTTTGTACAAATTAAAACAAAAAGGAGTGGGTGATTTAATGTTGAAATGGTTTTCTTCATATTTAATTGGCAGAACTATCGTTATCAGAGTTAATGGGAAAGTTTCTAGTTCTCGAAAGATTAATGGTGGAGTACCGCAGGGATTCATTCTCGGATCCCTGTTCTTTCTTGTATTTATTGATGACATAGTTTTAAATCTTAAGTCAGTAACTCGTTTATTCGCTGATGATGTACTCTTACACACCAGCGGATCTTCATTGCAACAAATAGGATATGTTTTGAATGAAGATTTTAAGTTTTCGAATAGTCTGCCTTTTGGCAATCTAATTTTAATATTAAAAAATGTGAACCAGTGATATTTTGGCTCCACTCGTTATAAATGGAATCTGCTCTTTAATGTTACAACTCACAAACATCTTAGATTTATGTTAACGCCACAATTACAATGGAGGAAGCACATCGAATATGTAAATTCTAAATGTAATAAATTTTTATTTCTAATGTACAAGCATACATTTTAGACCGCCGTTTTCAGCCAAATTTATAAGTCTTACGTATATTCAGTAATAATATATGGTGGAGTCTACTCTGATACCAGCGCTAAAAACCTTTCAATAATTTCTTTAGTACAGTATAAATTCGCTCTTTTAGTACGTAGTTGTTTGCGTTTAACTAGTAGATGCAAGGTTTTAAAGGTATTAGGTTGGCAAGATATTTTGAAATTTTTTGAACATCAAAAACTTTTACTTTGTTTTAAAATTGTAATGGACTTAGTACCTAATTGCTTAAGGAATAAGTTTTGTTTTCGTGGTAATACCAGATATCTTAGTCGATCGCAAGCTATTAACAAAGTTTACCCAAAACAGGAACTGTCACAAAAATTTCAAACCAATCCCTTTTTTCCCACATTGGAAAAAAAATAAAAACGATTTGAGTCAGAAGTTGAGGGTGTATAAAGGTCTGAAACCATTTCGAACGAAACTTCAAGATCAAATAAACACACTGAAGATTTTTCGAGTGTATAAAATAAATCATACGTACGATAAAATATATTAGCTCTTTAACTGTGTTTTTCGTCTTTGAGCAATGATCTCTTTATAAAAAATCTAGCATCAGATAAAAACTGCCAATGTGGATAGAAAGAAACAGTTAGACACTATCTGATAAAATGCTCTCTCTATGACATTCAACGAGCTGCACTTTTTAAAACAATTAAAGATTTGATACCTTATGCAGACGTTTCTTTAAATTCTCTTCTTCCGTTTACCCCTGCTTGGATCATTTTCGACCCATTCGTAGAAATGATGTAGTGGAGTAACAAAGCATTGGATCAAGAAGCTTTATGAACATTGTGTAGAGAATTCAATAAGCTATAGATTCGTAAAAAATAACTTTGTTTTTCATCACTTTTTGGCTAATATATTTGAGTCTGAAAAAGGTGCATTTTCAAAAAAGTGAAACAAAAGAAAAACCTGATTCTCTTTGCATTTGCATATATTGAGTATTTTTGTATTCGGGCGGTGATATATACTGCTATGAGCGTCATCTATTTGCAGGAAAGCGTTTAAAGATTTCTTGATTAGAGATGTGGGAGCAGCATCCTTCAGGACCACATGGGTCATCTTTGACCCATTCGGGATGAGTGACACGAAAATTGCTTTTTTCCGCAGGTATTTTGTTTATTGATATAAGCTACATTATCGTTCTTTTCGTTAGACCTAGACTTTAGAACACGTGCAATTTATATTAGAAGAGCTTCCGGTGCTAAAAACCTAGATTTTCCATTAATTTGCGAGATTTCTAGACTGTAGGCATGCACCATTTTCAGCTTTTAACTGAAGAACTATTACTGTAATGTTTATGGATTTTTTAGCAACATCAGAAATATAATCTCTACCTAGTGGTCATTTGTCAAATTCTATGCTTACCCAGAATTCTGAATACGAATTTAAGTTATCTTAAACCCTTCCTCAAAATACTATTTTCGATATTTTCGGCATTAAAGACCTCAAGTGTTTGTAATAAAATCAAGCCTATCATGAATCATTTTTCTTCATTTTTCCAAACAATTCATGATAGGAACAACTTTCTAGCTTTATACAGACCAAGTAAACACACAATTGCAAAAAACCGCAACAAAAACCAAATAAGCAAATCATTAAATTTCCATGTCACTCAACTCGAATGGGCCGTAAATGACCCATTCTGCTCCTCCGCAGTGAAGGAACTTCGCTCAAATTTAACCATAGCATTGTCATATTGAGCATCCACATAAGCCATTCCTGCGGCCAACTCAACATCAGATCTGCTTGATTAATACCAGGGGATAAAGCGTTAAATCGCTGCTTTTCAAACCGATCACTATTGCACTGTGTACCGTGCAGTCGTTAGATTTCTTGAGGATAGTTCACGATTAATTGTGCAAACAGATAGACAGACGCTTGTTACTATATTTCCACAATATATTCCACTCTCTCTCTCTCTCTCTCTTATTTTATATTTTATACTTTGTTTCTTGTTTTTTTTGTCTTTTTCTATTTAACACCACCACATACAGTTCTTTGCATTAGTCTTTATATTTTGCTGTTAAATAACTCGTTACAATGGCTTCGGTCGTTTTCATGTTATTTAAAGTGTATCCTTTCACTTTCTCTAAATAAAATAGCTTAAACTAAAAGGTAATATTATGTTTGCTGTTGTGGAAAAAAGAGTATTTTAAATCATGTCACAAGGGTTTCATAAAAATGTCTTCCATAAACAAAACGAGACACACCCACCACTGAGGTGGGTTTGTAGTTGTAATAGAGAAAAATCTGAACCACAAATAATAAGAAAACGACAAGTTGCATTGAAAGCGGATCCATGCGCCAATTATTCGTTAAGCATTGTGTAAAACATTTCTTCTCCTATATTTATGCTTTTATCAAAAAAAACTTTGAACATGCACAAGTATTTATTAAAAAAGTCTGTATTTACAATCTTTTATTTCTACCTTAGTGAGAAACTTGCTCGAATGTTACCAAGATCTTGGAAAAATCTTATTAAGATCTTAGTAAGATTTCGCTTGCCTTTGTCTAAGATCTTAGACGAATCTTACTAAGATCGTGAAACCCGAAAAGTCTAAGATTTAATAAGATTTTTTTAAGATCTTACTTAACTTATATTGTCTCAGATTTTTTCAGAAATGGATAAGCATCTGTTAGGATCTTAATAGTAAGAACGATGATGTTTTTTAAATAGTATTCATTCGACATTCGCTAGACTTTTTTAATTTTTAATTCGCAATATTCAAAGTATCGGTATCCTTTGTATACCTATTGTAAAAAACGAAAAGTGACAGTCATGCTTGGTCACGGATGCACATTATGCCTATGTTAATAACAATAAAGGCATAACATAAAATAATTTGATAACAGGAAAAAATATTGTCAAGAAAAAAGGTTTACTCCCAACTTGCAATAAATAGCAAGACGACTCACTTTTATATCGCAGCATGTGTTAATGAACTAGGAATATATTACAGAAACTATCAATGACGCTTAATACATTGTAAGTCGTTATACTTTTTCATAGAAACCATTCTATGTCCCTCTCTCTGTCTGAAAAGAAATTTGCAGATGTTCGAGATGCGTTGGCTTCAGAGTTGAACATTTCACAATTGAATCTTTTGACACCTTTTCGTATATAATCAATCATTGCCTTGTTTTTTCTTATAGAGGTCCTGCTTTATTCAAACATGCACAGTGGATAGGAAAAACTCGACCCAGGTATGTATTGATAGCTTTAGAATTGCAATTCAAGGACGAGAGATGTTTCGGTTCATCTGTTAACTGTAGTAGTAAGATTTGAATTCATGTGCTTCCATAAAGATAATAAGAAATTCACGAAAAACATTGCTTCTTGTGTGGAAAAAGAGATACAAAATAAAAAATGAACAGAAGAATATGAAAAAGTTACAATTGCATACGAAAGTAAGTAGATCTATACATTTCTAGAGCACTTTGCCTTTTAGAAAAATAATCTTGATCTAGGCCTGCAAAAGTTCACGTTTCATTCCTTGAGCGTGAACGTTAAAGCACTGGTGGGCGTGAGCTTTTTTTATACGAACGGTGTTCATATTTTTGCTTGATCTTATCTGATCAATAGAAATTCTAGCAAAGGATAAGACGGTCTGTTCAGGGTAGTGACCAGATTATTGCAGTGTAAAAAGGATATCCCTTATTCTCTGATCAAGATATTGATTCTACCCAGAACAGATAGCAGACTTCCTGACCAGAAGACTAGTTTTTCCGGCACTGGAATCGAAGTTTCTTGGTCAAAACCATTATAGTAACTACATAGGTTTTTCTTTGTTATCCTAAGCCATTTGGGACAAACGAGCGTTGATTTTTCACTAAATATAACTGGTACTGGAGAAAGCTGTTTCACTTGGTATACTACTAGGTGAAATTGCTATATAACGTTTTGCAATGCTGTTTATTCCACGCAAGGTCAACACCGTTCATATAAACATGAACAGAAAAGAACATTCGCGTTCATGTTCAAGGAAAGCGAACGTGCTTTAGTGTTACGTTCAAAGAGAACGCTAAAAAGGAACACTGAACTTTTGCAGACCTAGTCTGATCTTCACGTCTTCTGATAGATGTTATACTATGATGAAAAATATTTTAAATTCTAGTGAAATTATTAATATTCAGCAAGTGGCAAACAGAGAAACAAAACGTAAAGAAAGATTGATAAACGCAGCGTCAACACAAAAACGTATTATTATCAATGTATCAGGCAGACGTTTCGAAACACACAAAACAACACTAGATTCATATCCAAATACACTATTGGGTAATCACAGAAAACGGAAACCATACTATGATAAAGTTCACAATGAATATTTTTTTGATCGTCATCAAGCGTCATTTCATTCAATATTGTATTATTATCAGTCAAAAGGACGTCTCAGGCGACCACAGTTTGTTCCATTAGATACATTTCTTGAAGAAGTCACGTTTTTTGAGCTTGGTTCTGAAATATTAAACAAAATACGAAGCGATGAAAATATTAAAGATGTAGAAAAAATTAAATTACCTAGAAATCGCTTTCGTCGACATCTATGGGCAAATATGGAATATCCACAATATTCCATTACGGCAAAAATTATCAATATTGTCTCCATATTGATGATATTTTTATCATGTATTGCTTTCGCTTTGGAAACATTACCACAATACAGTGACTATTACGAGAAGATTTGTCGACAAGAGGATGAATTATTGACAAATGAATCGTTGCGACTTAATTTAACAATATCATATCCAATATGCACTGCATTATTTTATTCACCATTTTTTATTATACAGACAATTACAGTAGCATTTTTTACAATAGAATTTCTACTTCGTTTCATTAGTGCACCATCCTATTGTGATTTTATCAAAAGTATCCTAAATTGGATTGATCTGGTGGCTATTATACCGTATTATGTTGCATTGGGAATAGATTTGTCTCAAAGAAATCTTGATGCTATCCAGACATCAGCATATGTTGGCTTGAGACTGCTGAGAATTGTACGTTTTACACGTGTTTTGAAAATATACCGTGTGTTTCGAAGTTTTAAAACATTAAGAGTTCTAGCATCAGCCGTAAAAGAATCATTACCAGATATTTTTATTCTAATATCAAGTTTGACAATATTAGGATTCCTCTTTGGAGCAGCCGTTTACTTTGCGGAAAATTCATCAAACGGTGGCATGTTTGATAGTATACCAAAAGCAACATATTGGGGTATCATTACAATAACGTCGACTGGGTATGTGCATTGGTGATTCTCTCTACACTTAATATATGTTTTCTTCATTCTAGATATGGCGATATATATCCAATAACGGCTATAGGTCGTATATTCGCGAGTCTGTGTGCTGTCTTTGGTACGGCAACAATTGGAATGCTTGTATCGGTACTTGTAGATCGATATCAACGTGTATTTACAAGAAAATTATATATTAAAGAGCATGATGAAAGTATTGAATTGGATGAATATGCTGATGATGATGATGAAAAAACTCATGCTGGATTAGAACCAGATTGGCATAATAAATTGAGAAATAGTGTTAATGCAGTTGATCCAGACGCGCGTACAAGAAAGGAGCAAGAAATGATGAAATATAGTGGTCAGGGGAATGAGAGTTATGAGCAAGATCAAGACGAGGTCGATGACAATTTACAAGAAAATGATTTTAGTACAAATATAAAATCTCAAGTGTTCATTTTGTAATTGGATACACAAATATTAACCCTTCCAGGACGGATGGCTACCTCTGATCTTCACTATTTCACTTATTTTGCGTCCTTTTCACTCTCCTTACATTTTCTAGCAAAACTAATAACATATATTTTTCGTTTTTTCCTATAATATAAATCCTTCAAAGGAAATCTTCAGAGGAAATTATAATATAAGTCATCAAAGGAAAGGAAGGATCTTCGTAAAATTTATTATTTACAATTAACAGTTAGACGTTTTGATTACAACGTGCAATCTTCTTCAGTATAACATAAAACAAAATAAAATAAAATTCGTATAAAATTAATACAACAAAATATGTATATACAAAAGCAATTCTCGTTCAAAATGTGGTGTGTACAGTAGATGTTAAAACTGTAATGTGACCATTCTTATTCTTCAAATATATTTATACCTCTACTTTAATGTTTTCTTTTTCTATTTCTCTCTCACTCGACTAAACTAGAACGACGAAAGAGTTGAAGAAAATTCCGAACGTTGCAGAAGAAAAAGGCCGATGCTGCACTTAGTGAATTTCTATTGGAAAAATGGAACCATGAAAAATATCCATATGTTGGATTAGCACGATATGTGGATGATATATTGTTAATATCAGAGATGAACAGAGATACAATAAAAGAACTGGTGGAGTATTTAAATAGTTTTGAAGAGTTGCAATTTACATTTGAGTGTGAGAAAAATAATACTATTACATTTCTGGATGTGCGCATACACATCAATACAGAGAAAGAAGTGATAGAAACAAATTGTTTTAGGGAAGAAACGGCGAGTACCCGTTTATTAGACTTCGAATCCGATCATAGTTACACTATGAAAGAAAACCTAGTGATGAATATGGTCAACAGAATAAATATATATAATCATTACAAATACGATAAAACTGATCTATCCATTCTAGAACAACTTTTGGAAAACAGTAGTTTTCCGAAAAGAATAGTTAATAAAATTTTTCATAAAATTAAGATACGGGAATATAAGTTTCAAAATAAAGAGGAGGATAATAAAGTTCGGGAGAGTATAATTGTAATTCCACACAGATACTTACTTACAGAAAAATTGTGAACACAATTAGCTAAATTCAATGTTAGAATATACACAACTCTTAACCGTAATATTGGTTCAGTATTAAATAAAGCAAGAAAAATTGCACAGAATGTAGCACAGGATGAAAATCTTTTAGACAAACGAGGAAAGGACGTAGTGTATGGTATACCCTGTATGTGTGCTGACATGTATGTGAGTGAAACATGCATGTTTAAACGGAGGATAGATGAATATATTAGAAAAGTGAAACAAAGATATATAAAGAGCTCAGAATTGGCGCAGCATCAGGAAAATGGTAATGCATGCTTTACAGAATTTGAAAACAGTATGATTTTCGATAAAGAAAAGAACTGGAATAGAAGAAAAACATTGGAGACAGTGTACACCATAGCAAATTTAGGTTATAATCGATGCAAACAAATTAGTCCACAATGGAAACCCACCATTAAACAGTGGATTAAACCGAGATCAGGAGAACCGTTTTATCCAGTAAATATAAATAAGGATATTAGTAATTCGACTACAGAAACCAAACAACGAAACCAAAATGCTAAATATGAATTTAAGAAACAGAATAGAAAAAACTACACACATTACAGTTTTAACATCTACTGTACACCCTACATTTTAAATGAGAATTGCTTTTGTATATACACATTTTGTTGTATTAATTTTATACGAACTTTTATTTTATTTTATTTTATGTTATACTGAAGTAGATTGCACGTTATAATCAAAACGTCTAACTGTTAATTGTAAATAATAAATTTTACGAAGACAAAGTATATATTATAGGAAAAAACGAAAAATATAAGTTATTCGACTTCGTATATCAACAAAGACCCTATTCTAATTAAAAACTAATAACATATTTGAGATCAGCAGACAAAACTGGGCCGAACAGCATACTTAACACTCGATTTTCGAACGAAAAAATTTCATTGAAAATTTTGCTCTGAGTTAGAGATGAGTATGTAATCTATCTGACAAAAGTTTCACCTACGTTTTTCGAAACTATCGGTTTCCATAATTATTTTTGCATGATTACGATGTACATTGAATGTAAATTCTATAGCAGAAAGAACGACCCTTAGTTCATCACTCTCGTCCTTCCACGTATGTTTCAATCGTGGATGCTCGTCCAATTTCTAGAACCACAGAATAGTTAACCTTCATACTATGGCTAGATAGTCTGCAAACACTGTAAAGGCTTTGGTGCCAATTTGACTAGGGGGAAAAGTCGGCTCCGCGAGCTTTCCGGAGCTTGAGATGCTTGGCACCGGATACTCTCCGATGCTAAGAAAGAAAAAGTCGCCTTTTCTCCCTTGCAGTTTGAAATCGAAGTAATGCACCTAGACGGAATTATGCATTTTTTTCGCAGAGGATCTCGAATTTTCAGCAAAAAAAGCCCGTAAAATAGCTGTATTTCACTGACTGCTAACAGTCAACTCACAAAATTCAAAAATTTCATCAATAGAGTAGAGCCGTGGCTACATTTTTGTAAAAAGAAAACATTTTAATCTCTTTGAGGTCAGGAGCTATTGATACTTTACGGAAAAGAAATAAATCGCTTATATCTCACGAACCATACAGTAAAATAGGTCCACAGCTGGTAGATGCTCAGCGTTTAGTAAGACCTATTACCACGCAAAGAATGCCTTTAGAAGCCCCTAGCTATCATGGTTCTTGAGTTGCCGAGGTGTTCCTACTTTTGCGGAATTATTTTCTGAAAAAATAATCCGTCCTGAAAGGGTTAAACGAAATAATTGAAAAGTATCTGAAACGATTCATGAAACATTTGAATGGAAGAAATGGCTTATTCTTAACTGAGATCACTATTTTTCTACTCACTCTCATTTTGCGCTGCCCGCCCTGTGATGTTTCTTTGATGTTAATTTTTATGTTACAGATTTTATGAAAAAAGTGATCTCAATTAAGAAGCCTCGGAAGAAATAGTGATAGTTGATGATGATAAGCGGCTAAAAAGGTGGGAATCCCGACCACAAAGCTCACATGAATTGCTAGTAACTGAAAAGAAACGGTAGCAAACAGTAAGACATTCTTTATGTGCTAATATTCTACAAAAACTTCGCGTACTATCTTCCAATACGTTAGCTGTGCGAAAGAAGATATTTACTCAAAATATTTTAACACCTACGAAAAACATTGTGAATCGAGTGCAATTACAAATAGTGATAAAATACTGATAATATCAAGGTATGCTTGAAGCATTTAGCACCAATATTATTTTTTTTTTCATGTTGATGATATACGACATTTAATTGGTCTAGTAAAAAAAACAAAATCAATCAAACGACATCCGTACCTCGCAGAAATAAGATTTGTATGATAACACTTAGAAAAACCACAAACATTTTAGGACATAAAAAATACTTTTTTTTTGCTAGACCAGTCAAATGATTTATACCATCAACATGGAAAAAATAATATTGATGCTAAATGCTTCAAGCATACGTTGAAGTTATCAGTATTTTATCACTATTTGAACTTCAAGTATATTCAGATGCGCAATCAATCGACCTCACTTCATCGCATGTGAACTATTTCGAAAGAGAGAAGGTCCTTGTTGTTTACTTATGTAAAGTTCTTGGTAACGATAACATTATTTCCAATGATTCTGAGAACACTACTGAAATACAATAACATGTTTTTGATCGATTCACAATCTATATATTAGAGCAACAGACATTCAATTCTTGCACATCGCTTGTACGACAGAAAAGATTGTAGCACTCACGATTTTTTTAGCAATTTCTTAATTTTGTATATAATTCATAACTGATGCAAAACTTAGTAGATTGAAAAATGAATCGAATGCTTCATGTGCATATTTCTTATTATCTGTGAGTGGATAATTTCAGTCGGAAAAACAGTCACGTAGACATCTACTGGTCCGAGAATCTTATCAAGGTCATCAGAACACATTGTAAGATCTTTGTCATCTATTCGGAAGTATATTGAGATATTTAGTCAATGAAAGATGAATAAAATCGAGAAAAGCGTGCGGATCCGTATGTTTCAATATTCTCAAGCTGAACTAGCCTAATATAGAAGAAAGTCTGGGGTATGAAATGAGACCACTTTCAGCTCTCGACGATCTTCCTTGAGAAAATTACGAAGTTTTAAGTTTTTGCTTCGAACACTAGAATATCTCAATTTTTTAGTTTCATATGGCTTTCTTTTCTTTTCTATACATTTAAATGTTTTTATTGTAGATAGGCTAATAGAAGAAAGTATGCTCTTCAAAATGAGATGTTTTCCAGAATTTCCCAATGAGTTTTCGTGGAGATAGAAGCATCACTGCAAATGTCTTGAAAAACAGAGCCCTGTGTACAATATGTGTTTTTCTCACTATGCGTTGTTTGTATAGTCTCTTCAAACCAGTTACATTACGACCCCTCGGAAAAACAGAGTTGAAATTTTTACAACAGATACTTTAGACCCTATCTCAGATTCGTTTCTTTAAGGGCTTTCGATTTCAACTTTCCGTGTGACAAGGTTTTTAAAATAAAAAACGGGTTTTTATACAGGATTTTTAGTATTTTTCAAAGATCTCGAGATGGTAAGCATATTTTTCGGAAAGAAAAAAAGTGATAGGGTCTAAAGTATCTGTGGTAAAATTTCCAGGCTGATTGGATCATTTTTCCGGTTGATCATATGTGACTGGATGAAAGCTGAAGTTTTTCCAGAAAATCCGTAGAAGATCATGTCAGAAAATTCTAGACAAAAATACATCCATTTCCTTTTTCGATGTTCTATCTCGTTTATAGTTTTCATTTCGATCAAACATCGACTTCCGCGGTTTTCAAGAGGGTCAAAAAAGAGATGGTGTTACTCTTAGTATTATCATCAGCTTTTTGAGGATCAGTGGTATTTGAAAAATCGATTACACACTGTTCTATACGATC